TCATAAATACAGAAAACAAACTGCAAATTGCCTGTCGGGAGGAGGGTAAAATAGGTGAAGGAGATTAAGAGGCACAAACTTCTTGGGGGAAAAAAGTACTACTTACTGGATAGCTTATCAAATACACACAAATGTCAGAATTCCTTTGGTATATATGTGTTTATGGTTGCATGAAAGAGAGCTGTTTACAATACCATGATTAAACATGGAGGGCATTATGCTAAGTGAAATAAGCCAGACACAGAAAGATAAATACTGTATGCTCTTATTTATATGCGGAATTTTAAAAAAGCCTAACTCATAGAACCAGAAAATATTAATAGTAGTTACTTGGGACTGAAGGGTGGAGGAAAAGATGTTGGTCAAAATGTACAAACTTTCAATCAGAAGATGGCTAAGTTCTGAAGTTCTAACGTACAGTATGGTGATTATACTTAGTATTACTTTATTGTACACCTGAAATTTGCTGAGTAGATCTTAGGTATTTCCACACACACACACACACACACACACACACACACACACAAAGGTAACTATGTGAGGTAATGGATGTGTTATAATAACCTGATTGCGGTAATCATTTACAGTGTAGAAGAATACTAAATCAACACATTGTACCCCTTTAAAAAAATCATGTCATGTAACCTAAATAAGTACAATTTTATTTGTCACTAATACCTTAATAAAGCTGGAAGAAAAAGGAACAAGCATCTTTTTAATCTGGAAATTAGCTGTTCCTTTTTCACTGATTTTATTTTTATATTTTAAGTTAAGTTGATCATTCTTAAGTCTACCTACTGGTTTGGGAAAAAGGACTTTATTACAAAGCTCTAACTATAAACTTGAGTTTTAATAATAGTGAAAATTATTTTAAATAGGTAAATCTTTTACAAACACCACAACAGAGTTCTTTATAAAATGCCTACACACAATCCAATTCCATAATTATTTTCCTTATAAGAAATCTAGAAAAAGTCTTTAGTAGAATGGTACTAAACAAATTTGGCATGACATTTCACAGTATAGTGACAATCTCAAAAGTTCTTCCATTTTTAAAGGACAAATAACAAAAGAAAGTCAACATGGAGTAAATGAAAAATTCTGAACCAGAAGAGGTTCGTTAGATCTACATGAAGAAAAGGATACCACTGAAAGTTATTTATAATAAGAAATTGAGAAAAAATCCAAGAAAAAAATGTGTTCTTAGGAATATGCAAAAAAATTAAGAATGCAGGTTGGGGAAAAATAGTATTAGGAGACTGGGATAAAACAAAACTGCTGGGTAAATAAAAACATAAATTTAAAATCCAAATGGTGAGCAGTAAGAAACAGAATATATATCACAGAAAATCAAATCCAGACAGAAAGGCCTACTTACAAAGTGATGCAAAAGAGAAGAAAAAAGAATGTGTGACACAATTAATACAACTAGAAACCAGAGCCAACCCATGAAAAATTCTCACAGGAAAAAAAATGAAAACAACAAAACAATAGGTATAAAATTAAGAAAATACTTCCCTCAACTGAAAAAAAGGGATTGAAGGACCTGAAATCTTCCAGATAAGATTAAAGGATTGAAAAAAATCAGTAGATATAACCCTAACCTTTGAAATATTTTAATCACTTCAAATCTTTACAATGCAACAAATGCTGTACCTACTATGGAAATAGTACACAAGATCAAAGAAAGAGTTTATATCCACAGCTAAGATCCTGTAAATCTGCTATATGTTGTAATATCTTACTGATTACTCTGTATTTTGGGCATTAACTAACTCAGGGCAAACATAAGAACCTGAACTCATGACTTCAAATAAAAATTGCACTGTTTTTCTATATTTACTTCTTTTTTAAACCATGCTGCCTTATATTATTATTTAGTTGCAATGAAGTATTAGTCTTCACACTTTTCAATGAAGTATTAGTCTTCACACTTTTCAAGTAAACAGAAGTGTAGTTTTATTTTGTTACTTATGAATTAATTTTTATAACAGAATGGATGTATATCAGCACAGTCAGTTCTTACTACTATTGAGATGGCACACCTCAAAATAAATCCAATTTCTGGATGCATGTATTTTTATTTTTAAATGCACAGCTTATAACACTTGTTAAGTTAATTTTTTAACATAAGGTAAGAACAAAGTGGCAAAAGAACACACTCCACCTAAGCATTTTCATGAGTCCTGAAATGCGTTATATACGAAGGATAAGCTTTTAGGTGTATTGATTTTGAAGGTTAATAATACATTATTATCAGTAGTAGTATAGTTATTTAATTCTACCAGTCATTAATAAAATAATCCAAGTCTAGCTGCTAAGTAGGTGAAGCTGGAAGTAAAATTATTTACCATGGAAATGACTACAGTGCTTTCTAATAATTTATATATGAGAAACTTATAGCTAACTTCTTCTAAAGAGTTGTCTAGGGATCCCTGGGTGGCGCAGCGGTTTGGCGCCTGCCTTTGGCCCAGGGCGCGATCCTGGAGACCCGGGATCGAATCCCACGTCGGGCTCCCGGTGCATGGAGCCTACTTCTCCCTCTGCCTGTGTCTCTGCCTCTCTCTCTCTCTCTCTCTGTGACTATCATAAATAAATTAATTAATTAAAAAAAATAAAGAGTTGTCTATTACTTATAGACTCCAATTCCTCTCCCATTCTCTCTATAAACCAGGTTTTAGCCCAGGGTTTCTCCCCCACTATTCTGAAAATGCTCTTGCGTGGTCACCAAGGACCTTTGCATTGCTAAATCCAACGGCTGTTTCACAGTCCTCATCTTACATAACTTGTCCACTGAGCAAGAGGAGACACAGATGATCACTTTCTCCTTCCTGGAACACTCTCTTCACTTGGCTTCTGGCGCGCTCCACATTCCTACCTTCAAAGGCTTTCTTTGAGGTTCTTAATCTCCCCAACCACTGAATATGGAAAGCCCAGAGCTCAATCTTCATTTCTTTAGAACAGATCTCATACAATCTCGTTTTGTTTTGTCTTGTTTTTCAATCTCATGGTTTTAAATACTACCACCTGTTAATAACTCCCAAATTTCTATTTCGAGTCCCAATCTTTCCATAAACTCCAGCCTCATATAATCCCATGTGAACAGGCATCTCAAACCTGACACATCTAAAATTCTTAATTCCCACTCTATCCACCTCCCCTTATCTCTTCTGCCCTTAAATTTTCCCCATCTCGGTAAACAGCAACTCCATCCTTCCAACAGCAGGCCAAAGGCCTTAGAGTTAGGTTTCATTCTTTTACCCCTACACTGCACCTCCAATCCATCAATAGTAAATCCTGGCAACTACCACCTGGTCTAAGCCCTGATCACCTTTCGTTTAGATTCCTGAACCAACTTCCAACCAGTCTCCCCTCTCCCATCCTTGCCCACCACACCACCCCCTGCCCCCATCAATTCTGAACACAGCAGACAGAGCGAAGACTCTTTAAAAACATTAAGTCAGATCCTCCAACTCCTCTGCTCAAAACCTTCCACCCACTCCCCTCCTTATTCAGAGAAAAAGCCAAGATCTTTATAGGACCAGTTAGCTCTCAGACCCCCCATCCTGCCCTCCCTTACTCCATTCAAATGCACCCGCCTTCTTGCTGGTCCTCCAGTAAGGCTGGCAATCTCTGGTATACTCCTCCCCTAGACAGCCCCATGGTTGTTGTATTTATTTTGTTCAAGAATCTTCCTCATTTTTAAATTGTATCTGCTTGTTATTTTAAAACTGCATCTGCTTCTTCCTATCCCCCTCAGCTGCTTTATTTTTCTTCTTAGCAACAGTTACCTTCTGACTGGATATATTTTACTTTAATTTTCTCAAATTATTTTGTTTATTGTACCCACTCTCACTTCCTCCAGTGGAAAGTAAGCTCCATGAAGACAAAGACACGTGTTTTTTTTTTTTTTTTTCCAGGCTTCCATCCCCAGTGTGTAGAACAATGTCCAGCCATGGAAGGCACTCAATATACATTTGCTACAAGAATACTGAATATGCAAACTTTTATATCCTGATAAGGCTAAGAGATTTGAGAGACTACAGTATCCAATCTCTCTCCTTAAGGGAAATAGGACTTCACTTCTGACGTTCATGGAACTGTGGAAATTCTTTATCCTTCCTAGTAAGTGACTCAATATGCTCTAAGCAACATGCGAAAAATCTTGCCACCCCTCTTCAGGCTCTCCAACATCCTTCCTATATCCAGGGAGGTATTAACTTACGGTCATCAAAAAATCTTCATTTTCCTTCAGCACTACACATTGCAAAGGCAAAGTGAACTCATTAAAAACGGTATCAAAACACAAGTAATGAAGAAAAGTAATGAAGCCTGTAAACGGCCAAATGAACCCACGTCTATTTCACTTCAAAGTGCATTGATAGTGGTGAGGGCCTTCGACCAAGCTTAACTTACTATCCACTATAATCTTCAAAGAGCAAACATTTTTCTCATTAAACTCCTTAAAAACCAAAAAGGAGTTGGGATAGGGCTTTTGCAGATAGCCACGAAAATTAAGGCTGAGAGAAGTCAGTTCAGGCTACGAGTCAAATTAAACAAACAAGCAAGCAAAACCCTCTGGAACATGTTTGGACAGGGAACGAAGGCAAGAACACTGGAGTACGGCAGAGGAGGCTCAAAACCCAGCTCTCCCTCTGCTGGCTGCCTGACCCTCGGCAAGCTTGCTCGGACTCTCCGGGCTCAGTTTCCTCATCTGCAAAATGGAAATGGTGCCTCACAGGACTGCTGCGAGGATTAATCAGAGGTATTAGGTATTTCGAACACGGAGCACCACGTCTGACACTTAGCAAGCACCGGAGACGGGGGTTACCGCCATTCCCGTACCACTGATCTTACGGCTGTTTAAGCTAGGAGCTCCTCCGTGCCGCCGTCAGTCTGGAGGAGTGAGAACTACCACTACCAGCGGTCTACTTTTTGCCTACGCTCAGTAGCCAAGTTTGAAGAATAAGCGTCCCTTTCCCTCAAGGCAGAGCATGTACCGGAAAGCCTGGAGGGTGAACGCCCGCCTCCCAGCACTGCGCGAAGAGGCAGACGCCGGCCTTGACACGCGGAGCCGTGCACCCTCCGGGGCGGTGCGATCACGCGGCGCAGCGCCGACGCCGGCCGCGGGCTCCTCACGCCGGCCGCGGGCTCCTCACGCCGGCCGCGCACTGCCGCCTTCCCGCCGCGACCACCAGGAGCCTCAGACCTCCCGCGTCACCGCGAGCGCGCCCCGGCGCGCCCCGGGCCCGCAAAGCCGGGCCGCCCCTCCGGCGGACGACCGCAGCCTCTCCCCGCGACAACACGAGAGCAGAGCCCTGGCCCGCCTCGTCCCGGCCCTCACGAGCGGCACAGCCCCGGGGCTGCCCGCCGGACCCGCGACGCCCGCTCGGGCTCCCTCAGGGCCGCCGCGTAGGGGCGACGGCACCCGGGCAGCCTCGCGCCCACCCCCGGCCCCTCGGCCCCTCGGCCAGGCCCGGCCCGGGGCTCTCCGCGGGCTCCAGGCCGGCAGGGGAGGTGTCACTGGCTCGGTCCTGAGGCCGCCCACGGGCCCCGGCCCACGTACCTGCGACCCGGCGGAGCGGCGGCGGCGGCGGCGGCGGCGACTGCAGGTCGAGAGGAGCAGAGGGGCGGGCCATAGAGCAGGCGGAGCTGCCCCGGGGCTAGAGCGGCCTCACGCCGCGCCGGACGGTGCGCCCCCTGGAGGCGGGAGGCCCGCGCGGCGACTCGGCTTCCCCAGAACTGGACTCTCCGAAGGCGCCTGCTCTGAATTAGGGAAAGGACGGAGCCTGCGCGTGGGCAGAAGACAATGACAGCCTAGGAAGAAGTTTTTCCAGCCTGAGTTCAGGAGCATTTTGCACTATTCACGTCCTTTTTCTAAATATTTAACATCCCAACCCCTCAGCTAAATGAAGGCTTCAAAGCAAGGATACTTTCATTAAAAGCTGTAAGCATCCATAGTCACCGACCTCTAGGTAAGGCTAATAACTCAAATGGATATATTTATAATAGCAACTGACTGCCATAATCCTAAAATATGACGCTGTTTTTGTCAAAAATTGTTTGAATATTTGCATCCTACTTTTTAGGATTCCTGGACTAAATGCAAGATGTATACAGCCAAATCTCACTGAAAATGTGGTGGATAGTAGGGTGGTGGAAGTTCATTTATACATATACAACATTTAAGTTTCCCAGCTCTGTTCCTACAGACTTCCTCGGCAAAGTGATTATCCCTTCTCTGAATTCTAGCACCACTTGCCCAACCAGGCCACCTTCTGGGATGTCTCATGTCCATCCACTCAAGAGCTATTATTCAGTCTAACAGTGTGTTCTTGGTAAAGTCATGTAAATGTTTAGGATCATTGTCAAATTTGAGAGAATCTCTTTCAAATTTCTTTCATATAAGAATTATGATTTCAGGGGGTGCCTGGGTGGCTCAGTTAATACAGCATTTGACTCTTGACCTCAGGGTCATGAGTTAAAGCCCCACATTGGGCATGGAGCCCACTTTAAAAAAAATTATGGGGGATCCCTGGATGGCTCATGGGTTTAGTGCCTGCCTTGGGCCCAGGGCGTGGCCCTGGAGTCCTGGGATGGAGTCCCACGTCGGGCTCCCTGCATGGAGCCTGCTTCTCTCTCTGCCTATGTCTCTGCCTCTCTCTCTCTCTCTCTCCTCTCTCTCTCTCTGTGTGTCTCTCATGAATAAATAAAATCTTAAAAATAAAAAAATTATGACTTCGGGGCATTTCACATTTTCATGTGCAGTCACTAATCATAAGTATTAATTACTATTTGAATGGATGACATTTATTAACCAATTTGTCATGGATGTCTTCCTTGTGGTTTGGGTTGAGTTTATAATATCTTCATTGGTGCCCATAAATTTAGTCAAATCTACAAAGAATTTAAACCTTTTCCCAATATGTTCATAGGATGCACTTCTCTTCATTAATTGGCTTACTGAACAATCTGAGAGCGTATTTATTACTTCAAATATATTTCTTCCCCTCTATGAATTATGCTTTTGTTTGATCTGAAAAAAATGCAGGGACTGTGCAGATAGCTTTTTTCCTCAGGTGAGATTAAGGGAGTGAAATGCGCACTATTCATATCCTGTGAATCCTCCACGGCACCACATTTGGGACTACAGCACATCACTCTGGTCACTAGGAGTGTTCAGAGAAGCCTTTCCTCCACTTTGACAATAACTTAATGCTGCATGTGACCATGAACCACATGGACAATCCCATTAAATGCAAAACAGAGTATCCCCAACTGCATTTCTGCTTAGCAAGAGCCCCAAAATATCTATATTCACTCCAGTGCTACTCAGGAGAGAAGAGAGCCTTGGGAAGTCCGAGTAGAAATAGACAGCAGTCTTCATTGTAATTAAACTATATTAATTTTTCAAACTTTACAGAAACTTTTGACTGTGTGAACATATTTCCAGAGTTCCTTCCAGGGTCTTGGAAGGAACCTGTACAAGGGAGGGTGGGGCTGTATTAGTTCTCTATTGTCACTGTAACAAATTATCACAAACTTAATGACTAATTCATCATCTTACAGTTCAGGAGGTCAGACGTCCAAAATCAGTTTCACTGGGCCAAAATCAAAGTGTAGGCAGGGCTGCATTCCTTCTGGAGGCTCTAGAGAGGATCCATTTCCTTACCCTCTCCAGCTTCTAGAGGCTGCCCATATTCTGTGGCTCGTGGCCCCTTCCTCCATCCTCAAAACCAGCCATGTAGCATCATTTCTCCTTCTGACCTCTGCTTCTACTCTTGTATCTTCTCTAACTTTGACCTTCCTGCCTCATTATTAGGACTCTTGGCTTACACTGGGCACACCCTGATAATCCAAAATTTCTCCACCTCAAGGTCTTTAACTTAATCACATCTACAAAGTCTTTTTTTCCCATTGCAAGGTAACATGGTTTCTGGGGATTAGGTCATGGACATCTTTGAGGATGTTATTCAGACCCCTACAGGGTCCTGAAGCTCAAATTCTTTTCCCTTCATGTAAATCTGCCTGTTCTTCCTCAATGCCAGAATCTATTTGGTTCTGATTGTGAGACTTCCATTGGGGAAGAGTACCTGTAATTACAACTGGACCAAGTGTTATGAAGGAAGAGAGAAAAGATGCTATACACAGGCAAATAATATGGGACCTAATTTACGTGGAAAGGCAGCACAATGCCTTTGAAGAAGTGATAATGCATTTGAGACACAAAAGATGAGAAAGAGTTAATTATGCAATGAATAAGGGGAGTGTTCTAGAACAGAGGATAGTATGTATAGCCTGGGAATGGTGATGTCAGAAGGTCAACATGGGGGTGCCTGGCTGGTTAAATCAGCAGAGCATGCGACTCTTGATCTCAAGGTCATGAATTCAAGGACCACATTGGGCTTGGAGCCTACTTAAGAAGGAGGAGGGGGAGGGGGAGTAAGGGGAGGAGGTGGTCAGCATGGCCCAGTTGTGTCCCACCATTGAATCCTTAGCACTACCACAATGAATGGCACGTAGTAGGTGCTCAAGAATATAGCTTAGTGGTTGTCAGTCCTGGCCACACATTATAGTCACCACAGGGGCCTAAAAATACCAACACCCAGGTCCCGGTCAAAACCAAATAAGAATTGTTTTGAAGTATGGCCCCAGCATCCATACTTTTAAAAGCTGCTCTGGGACAGCCTGGGTGGCTCAGCAGTTTAGCGCTGCCTTCGGCCCTGGGTGTGGTCCTGGAGGCCCTGGATCAAATCCCACATCAGGCTCCCTGCATGGAATGGAGCCTGCTTCTAGCTCCGCCTGTGTCTCTGCCTCTCTCTCTCTCTGTCTCTCTGTCTTGGGCTAGGCTGATTAGACATTACTATACCATCTTAGAAAATGCAGAAAGGGCTTTCAAAGGCAGAATTGAATACTTATCAGAAGGGACTCAGAGTGACCTAGCAATCATCCCATTATAACCAACTGTCCCTGCAGAAAAGAGATGTGTTGAAATGGGAAAATGATTTTAAAATATACCATACTAGAATGCCTGGATGGCTCAGTTGGTTAAGTGACTCTTGATGTTGGCTCAGGTCATGATCTCAGGGTTGTGAGATGGAGCCTCATGTGGGGCTCCATGCTGGCCATGGAGCCTACTTAAGATTCTCTCTCTCCCTCTTCCTCTCTTTCTTCCTCTCCCTCTCTAAACAACAACAGGGCAGCCCTGGTGACTCAGCGGTTTAGTGCCGCCTTCAGCCCAGGGCCTGATCCTAGAAACCTGGGATTGAGACCCACGTTGGGCTCCCTGCATGGAGCCTGCTTCTCCCTCTGCCTGTGTCTCTGCCTCTCTCTCTCTCTCTCTCTGTCTCTCATGAATAAATAAATAAAATCTTAAAAAAAAAAACGCAAAACAAAACCAAAAAATACCGTACCTACAAAGGAAGAGGAATTTCTACTTGTTTTTGAGCTTAACTACTAGGTTAGTTTTTTGTAGTTCTAAAGATGACCATCAGAGGGAGACATGCTCCTGAAAGTGTTGCTTTCAGGAGCGTCCCATCTCTCACACCAGGCAGAGTCAGGTGTTTTTAACAGCATTGTGGATTCCCAAGCCTTAACCAACAAACGAGTAAGTCGCAGGATATAAGACAAGTAGAGCATATATATCTACACTAGAGTTAGATTTATTTCAGTTCCCCAACAGTTTAAACATTTAAACCACCAGAAAAAAAGTGAAGTGTGTACGTGTGCCAGGCATTGTATGTGCAACACTGAGGGAAAAAAATGGAGTCTAGGAGGATAATCTGTTCAGCAACCAACACAACTAGAAATTAAGTATGCCAGCAAAAGCTTCAGAAAGGGATCTCTCTCCCTTTATTAACTGCAAAGTAAACATTTAGGTCTTGAATTTCTGGACCTACGTTAAGAGTCAGATCCCTGGAAAGAAAAAAAGAACTTGGCTCCTCGCTGCAACACCCATTTGTTGTTTTCCTTTGCACTTATCCATGCATGCCAGAAACACACGGATTTTCACACATACGTATGTTAGACTACTGTATGTGATGGGAACATATATAGTGCTTACTCTGATTAAGCTTCCCTTCCAAAAGTTAAGGAACT